TAGCTGGGACTATAGGCATGTGCCACCACGCTGGGCTGGTTCATGTGATTGTCTTGCCTCAGCCTTCCGAGTAGCTGGGACTACAGGCATGTGCCACCACGCTGGGCTAACTTTTGTATTTTTAGTAGAGATGGGGTTTCCCCATGTTGGCCAGGCTGGTCTCAAACTCCTGACCTTGGGTGATCCACCTACCTCAACTTCCCAAAGTGCTGGATTACAGGCGTGAGCCACAGTGCCTGGCCTGAAAATGAATCTTGACAATACCATTGGTATAGGACAAATTAGCAATTGGTTAGGCCCATAAAATTAATTAAAGTGGGTGCCATCTTTTCCCACTCCATCCTGATGAACAAGTTCTTGACCTACATTTTCTACAGTGCCATTGGCCTAACTCATATTCCTAACCCTGCAAGTTCCAGACCTGCCTCCTCCACAGTCAGATATATGAAGATCATGAAATTAGACAGCAGTCCAGTTCTCACCTTACAGATTTTATGACAATTAAAAAATCATCACGTATCATAGTTCCAGAGGTACTTCCCCAAAAGTTGTCACAACTTGGTGACTCAATATGATCTAGTAATTGTAAAGCAGAAAATTTTGATATATTCAAGAAATTTGGCAGATCATAATCTTTGATGATATGTTTATGCTGAAATTTGCAAGCTAGGCAGTTTAATTTTTTCTGAGACGGAGTCTCGCTCTGTTGCCAGGCTGGAGTGCAGTGGCGTGATCTTGGCTCATTGCAACCTCTGCCTCCCAGGTTCAAGCGATTCTCCTGCCTCAGCCTCCCAAGTAGGTGGGATTACTGGTGTGTGCCACCACGCCCAGCTAATTTTTGTATTTTTAGTAGAAACGGGGTTTCACCATATTGGCCAGGATAGTCTCGATTTCTTGACCTCGTGATCCGCCCACCTTGGCCTCCCAAAGTGCTGGGATTATGGGTGTGAGCCACCATGCCTGGCCCAGTTTAATATTTTTTAAGTCTTCATCTACGGCTCATCTCCTAGGTAACTGCTTCCTAAACCACACTCTTAGAGCTTTTTTGTGATCTACTGTTGACTTCCATTAAATATCTGATCCACCTTTTCATCATCATCAGGGCCCAAACAAAGCTGGTGAGGTGTCTCTTTGTGTAAATAAAGTTTGTTTGTTGGTTTGTTTTTGGAGACAGGGTCTTACTCTTCCACCCAGGCTGAAATACAGTGGCACAATCATTGCTCCACTGCAGCCTTGACCCCCAGGGCCCAAGCAATCCTCCCACCTCAGCCTCCCAAGTAGCTGAGACTACCGGTATGCCTGGCTAATTTTTTATTTTTTTGTAGAGACAGGGTTTTACTGTGTTGCCTAAGCTGATCTCGAACTCTTGGGCTCAAGTAATTCTCCTGCCTTGGCCTCCCAAAGTGCTGAGATTACAGGTGTGAGCCACTGCACCTGGCCTAAATAAAGTTTTATTGGAACACTAACACACCTAATAGTTTAAGTCTTATCTATGTATGGCTGTTTTCTTGCTATAACAGTAGAGGTGAATAGGTGTGAAAGACAACGCATAACCCACAAACCTAAAATATTTACCATCTGGCCATTACAGAATAAGTTGTTGACCTTTGCTGTATATTTATGTGGTTTATAACAGTTTTTCTACTTTTTTTTTTTTTTTTTTTTTGAGACGGAGTCTCGCTCTGTCGCCCAGGCTGGAGTGCAGTGGCCGGATCTCAGCTCACTGCAAGCTCCGCCTCCCGGGTTTACGCCATTCTCCTGACTCAGCCTCCCGAGTAGCTGGGACTACAGGCGCCCGCCACCTCGCCCGGCTAGTTTTTTGTATTTTTAGTAGAGACAGGGTTTCACCATGTTAGCCAGGATGGTCTCGATCTCCTGACCTTGTGATCCGCCCGTCTCGGCCTCCCAAAGTGCTGGGATTACAGGCTTGAGCCACCGCGCCCTGCAGTTTTTCTACTTTTTTCCTCTTTTTTTTTGAGACACGTCTCACTTCTGTTGCCCAGGCTGGAGTGCAGTGATACAATCATGGCTCACTGCAACCTGGATTGCCCCTGGGCTCAGGGGATCTTCCTACCCCAACCTCCCTAGTATCTGGTACCACAGGTGTATGCCACCATGCCCAGCTAATTTTTCCATTTTTTGTAGAGGTGGAGGTTTCACCCAGGCCGGTCTTGAACTCTTGGCTTAGGCAATCTGCTGTCTCGCCTCCCAAAGTGCTGGGATTACAGGTGTGAGCCACCTTGCCCAGCTGTATTCTTCCTTACTGACATATGGTATACTTATGAAGAAGAATCAACTAGTGTCCTTATAATATCCTCAATCTCAGGTGTTCTCGAAAGCATATCTAGGGAAATATTTTTGTTCTATCTGTGCTCTTTTAATTCTCTGACGATTCTTTCTTTTCTTCTGTACCCTTAACAGTTTAGTCCTCTTCATCTTTAAAACAACCGACTTTGGCCAGGTAAGGTGGCTCATGCTTGTAATCCCAGCACTCTGGGAGGCCGAGGCAGGCAGATCACAAGGTCAGGAGTCAAGACCATCCTGGCTAACACGGGGAAACCCTCTCTCTACTAAAAATACAAAAAAAAAAGAAATTAGCTGGGCGTGATGGTGGGCCCCTGTAGTCCCAGCTAGTCGGGAGGCTGAGGCAGGAGAATGGCATGAAATTTGCAGTGAGCTGAGATTGTGCCACTGTACTCCAGCCTGGGCGACAGAGTGAGACTGCATCTTAAAAAATAAATAAAAAATAAAATAACCAACCTTTTTTAATGAGTGGGAGGGAGAGGGATTATGGTTTTTTTCACCTACAGTTTGAACGCATTTGCACACACACCTGCATGTACTTAATGCAGAGATGCAAGGTGCCAAGTACACACACAAAAATCAGAATTTTGTGTCGTTTTATTTCCTTTCTACCGAGTCCTGTCAGTTTCATATTTGCTGTTGTCATAGAAGTCTGTTTTGTAAAAACTGTCTGATATGGTTGAGGAGAGCTGATGAAGGGAAATGGAGAAGGTGCAGATCCCCCCTGATTTGGTCACTGGATTCTGTAAGCAGAGCAGCCACTCATCAGGAGGCTGAGTAGTTAAGCTGTACTTGAAGAAGAACAGGAATGGTAATACCCCATTGCTGCCTTTTTGCAGTCTAAATGCCCTGTGGAGTGAGAGAAAACTTCAGTCCCTAGGCTTGTGAATCCCTTATCTTTCCCAAACGTTAAATTAATTTTTAAGACTATTTATTCAAAGTTGACTTAACCACTAGAATAGGGAAGATCAGACAAATCAGCTGCAAGAAATGAAGTATGAGAAAACCCGAACTCTCTGACAAAGTATTCCTGGGAGTAAATGTGTTGAATGAAGCCAGCGGGTAAATGATAAGGGCCTTTACACTGTGGATGTAAGAAAGCAATTTATCAAGAGTACATGAACTCTCTAGTGACCACAAGTCAGGAGGAAATGAGAGTGGAGGAGGAGCCCTGAAAAAATACATGTGAAATACTAAAAAATCTGTGTGCACACACTTTTAAATTCTTTCATTATTATGCAGTAATATTGGTGTAGTAAAATAGGAGTTGCTGAGAATGCACATGCAGTGTAGCCCATACCGTTAGGGATAAGGTGTTAGGAAAAGCAACTGAGAAAGGCCACACAGTAGTTTAGAATTTGCAGAAACCTTAGGTACATAACTTAGGTGTAGTTATCACTTGAGCCTAGATGTTGCTGATACCCATTTGCCTGACTCATGAGGTTAGATGACCATCCTTCAGGCTTATGTGTTCGTCTTGTTTAATTCCTCAATGGGTATATGCATATAATTCTGACAATTCTGAATGCCTTTTGTGTTCTCTTAAGGAGTTTAGAGTGCCTCTCACTTATTATCTCACTAATCTTTGCAGCAGCTCTTTAAGCCCTACAGATAAGACAGTGTTATTGTTTGAGAAACTGAGGCAAAATATAATTATATTATCAGCAATAGGGTGTGCAGCAACTCAGATATGGATGGGGACTAGAATTTGTGACCTTATTTTGGCATTTAGTTCTACAGAAGAGATAGTGTTTTCTTAAATTTGAGGAGAAAAAGCACCCAATTGTTGAAATTTCCATTGTATTGAAAGTGTTGACTCTGGGAATGGTCATCCTCAGCGTTTTCTACTGAGATAACACAGCTAAGATACACCAGAAATTCCCACATGTTGTCTTGTCATTTGTTTCCATTTTCATCTGTACCCTTAGAGCTATTAACAAAGTGACTTGTTATTTCTTTCTTTTTAAAATTATGACTTTAATTTTCTTTCCTTTGTATCCTGAATAAGTTTCAGAAAACATGCCAGTGAACACAAAAGCTATCTAACAGGTGACTAACGAGAGAAATTGGGAGAACTAGGTTTTTGGATAACCCACTATAGCTAATGTGACTTGACTTAAATTACTAACCCTCCACACGGATGTCAGCTTTCCTTATTTCCTCCAAATTAGGTCTTTTACCCCTATCGTCTAAAGAACACTCTCTTCCTCCTGAAACCATCTAGGTATTATAACAGGTGAATCTTATTCAGAAAAGTGATAATTGAGCCTCCCTGTATGGCATGAGTTAGGAATTGTTTTGTTTTGTTTTTGGTAGGGGGTGGGGGACACTATTGTAACTTGAGTTGAACCACAGTTCACTTAACAAATCAATGAGGTTTTTAGCACCAGCCACGGTCATTTAAAAACATCCTCAGTGGCTCTTTATCTTAAAGTTGAAGGTGTTTTGTATTTGTTGTTGCCTGCAATTTATAAACACATCCAATTTAAAAAATAGGAAAGAAAAGGGGTAAAACAGAAAGGAGATGTCAGAGAACTATTTTCTTTGCAGGATCTTGCTTAAACACGTATGGCAAACATTCATGTGTAGAAATGGAGCCCTGGTAACTTCCAGCGATATTTCTAACTCCTGTTCTCTCTCTTTATCTCTTTATTCCCAACACCCCCATCTCTGAAACTTTGGCGGGACCACCACAGCCTTGGATAAGCTCAGCACGCAGCACCTGTACCACCCCACCCAAGTGGAGATTGTGCAGTCCAACGTCGTGTTTGACATCAGCAGCCTGATGCTCTATGGAACACAAGCGGTGCCTGTGCGGCTAAAGATCCTGCTGGACCGTCTCTTCAGCGTCCTGAAGCAAGAGGAGGTGCTGCACATACTGCACGGCCTTGGCTGGACTCTGCGGGACTATGTCCGAGGATACATCCTTCAGGTAGGGGGAGGACTTGAACGCCGCCGCTGTCCGGGGCCGGCTCTGGGTGGGGAAGGGTGAGAGCCCTTGGCAAACCTCACAGGAAGGGCTGCACACCCTCCTCTGGTTAAAGTGGTCATTTCAGCAGGCTTGTCTGGGAAGGGGAAAGAAGGAGAGAGACAAAGCAGACCACCATCGGACCTCAGGGTGTATTACAAGGAAAACATGGCCTCTTGACTCGCGTTACCTTTGTTTGCACCTTTTTGAATTTAACTCTTTCTCTACAACATGGGTTTTCTGCTTCTCCAACAAGTCTTATTATAGCCCTATTAAAAAGGAGGGCCCTTTGAGGCGGGTGATGGGTGTGTGAAAATCTGAGATTACCCTGCACTTGGGTTTATTAGGGCTTTGTCTCATACTCAGTTTGCAGGTACGGTGTTTTTCTTGGTAGTCGTTGTAACTAAAGGCACACATTTTACTATTTATTGTTTTTTCAGCCAAATCAAAGGTAGAACTATCATCTATATAAACTTATATAACCAGTAAACCCTCACATCATAGCCTTCAGATTTCTGCATTCTGAAACACACAGACATGGTTTTAGATTTGGTCTTTGCAGAACCTGTTCTTCCAGCCTTGAGTGTCCGTTTGTATCAGTGGCACTTCTGATCTGGTTAAGGGCTTTAAGAGTTTTCTGGGAGGCCCACAGCCTTCATGCACCCCCATCTCCCATCCCTCCCTTTCTTCATCTCATTTTTGCAATGTGTCATGTGTCATTTGCATTGTATACTTTGCTTCTGAAATGTGTTTATGGCTGTCTGTCTTCCTACAACCCTTGAGGGGTCAATGTTGAGAGCAGCATTTTGGGAGACCCCAGGATCCAAAGAGGCTACACTGGATGATGAAGAAATACCCCTCCCGCCGAAGGAGATCTCAATTGGAGAAGGTAGAATCTGAAGCAATTTTTCAAATTTCCCATGAGGATAATACCAGGAGACATGACCCCTTCAAAAACAATTGGTTTTGGCTGTGCCAGCTTTGTGTAGTGCTAGAGATATCTCCACTGTTTATTCCCTGGGCTACTGTGTGTTACATGAAGGGCATTGGCTGCCAGCTTGGCATGTGAGGGGTGGGGAGTCTCAGTCTACCTCTGTCTTTAACCTGGCATCAGTACACACAGATTCTTGTCATTTTCCTGTGTGGTACCTCCAGCTGTTAGCTGTGACAGGAGAGCAATGGAAGGATAGTGAGTAGAAGCAGGGAAAGGTAAGGGAGGTGGAATAACCTGTCTGCTCTCAGAATAGGATGGCATCTTAATTTAGTGTGAATCTCAACTGGGAAGACACAGAAAATTTGGCCCTCAAAAGATGAGATGATGGTGATAATACTAGCAATTGTATATTATGTTTTCAGTTTATAGAGCTTGTTTACAAGCATCTCATTTGACTCAAGATGGGGACATGTCAGTGGGTTAAAGTAGGAAAGTAAGTCTTGGACAGTCAGGGAGCATGAGGGGGAACAAGGTCTAGGAGGAAGGGGCCAGGAAAAATAAATAAGGAACTGGTTTCACAATCCCTGCTTATACTGGCCCCAAGATGTATACAGTGCTACATCTTTCTACAATCATTTCCACAACATGATTATTAATATCTGTTTTGAATGGATTTTACCCTGCACAAAGAGAAAAACCTCTTACAGTTGTTTGTATGGAACTGTTTGCTTGGCTAACAGTCCTTTCTTTATTCCAAACCAACAAGTGTTTTGCCCCAATCTGGTACCATCTTTATTACCTCCCCTATGCTCCTTATACTTCTGTCATTAATATTATATTTCAGTTTCATATGTATTTGTTGCCTAAGATATTTACACCTGTATACCTACGCAGAGACACAAGCATATACATTGTATCTTTCTGTCCAAATAGGTATGTGTGGGGCTATGCTGATTTGCCATTTTAACAAAGTTCAGGTAGCACTTTGATAGCAGTAAATATAAAGCCTGATAATGTTTTTGTGTTATGGTCCTATTGTTCTGCCTTGGCCAGTGCCTGTTTTTTATTTTACTTGAAATAATTATTTGGATGTTAGTTTTTCCCCAACTTGTGAACATATCTCTAATGCAAGTATAAATAATGTAAATGTACTCTGTATTTCTTTTTATATGAGGGCCCAGTATTTAGCAGGGGTGTCAAATCTTTGGCTTCCTGGGCCACATTGGAAGAAGAATTGTTTTTGGCCACACACTAACAAAAGCTGATGAGCTGGGAAAAAAAAAAAAAAGTCTCATAATGTTTTAAGAAGGTTTACAAATTTGTGTTGGCCACATTTAGAGCCTTCCTGGGCCACATGCAGCCCGTGGGCTGTGGATTGGACAAGCTTGATTTAAAGATACAAAATTGCAAGAGAAATTAAGTTTGAGAGGAAAATTCAGTAAAACCAGGAACTAAAATTTATAAATCCCTTATTTTAGGGTGAAATATTGCATATAGAGAACATTTTCATTTATTGTAATACTTCAATTATAATTAATTTTTATTATTTTAATATAGATTTTGACAATTTCAAATTTAATATAATGTTTCTCCAATCAGAGTCTAAAATTGACATTTTGAGAAAACTATAGATGATTTTTACACTAGAGGAATTCTAGGTTTAGTTTCTGTCTTGTTTTATTGGTAGAATTGATGTAATATAGATTTTATTTAAATAATGGTTTTTGTTATTCAGCATTTATAATCTACTTGTTCTTTGTTAAAACAGTTCTCGGTTTGGAAGAAAAGCAAATGGTTCCAGAACACCAAAACTGTTATCACTTATGTAGTGAGAAAATGCTTGTTTTGTTAAGAAAAAAAGAGAGAGACTGTAAAAGTAAACCCTTTTCTTCTAAAGTAATTTTGATAATTGGCCAATATTTTAAAGATTGTATGTGGTAATGATAAGGTGTGCACAAGTTACTTTGAATATAATTGTATATGGCATTTTTGTAAAAGTAGGCTGTAAAATGTGTGTCCGAAGGCTGTGGAACCCCATAATGCACTATTAGTGTACAAGTCATTTTATCTGGCTAAAACTCAATTGTCTTGTAGCCCTCAAGGCATCAATTTTAGCATTATTGCTCTCAACAACAGTATATTGAATATTATGTCAGTTAAAGGAGAATAATTATCAAGGCAGGTTAGGGTGGCTGTTAGTCTTACCACATATTGACTTGGTTAGCAGTTGGCTATAGATTGTGTTCCTGGGCAAATGAAGATGTACGGTAAGTTGAACTAGTCAAGCCAGGGTATTAATTTAACTCTCTGTGGGACCAAGCCTGCATCCTTTATGTGTACACAGCTACTCCTGCCTTCTGAGATACCTCTGAATGTGGAAGAATGACAGTTGTCTGATCTGATTTTGAATTTTTGGATGTAGGGGGAAGAGGGGAGCAGAACTTTCAAAACTGTGTGGTTAATGAAGAGGTTATTATTAGAAAAAAGGAGATGATAGTGATGCTACAGATACATTTAAAAGGCTGGCACATTGACCAAGGATCCTGTACTTTTCTAATAAAATTAATTTTCACCTATGTGAGTATCTGTATAATTCACAAGGTAGTCAGTTGGGTATAAAATGCATTACATAACTTGGACTACAACTACTTAAGAAGTCAGGTAATATATAAAGAACTCAATATTCTCCTGTGTACTTACTAAAGTATTTATTCAGAAAGTACAGAAAAGGTAAGTTAGCTCTTAAGCATTTTCCAGACAACAACAAAAATGGGAATATGCAATTAGATGCTAAAATCTAAATACAAAGGAGAATATGATGTTTTTTCTACTACTAAAAAATAATTCTGGCCAGGCGTGGTGGGGTCATGCCTGAAATCCCAGCACTTTCGGAGGCCAAGGCAGGCGGATCACTTGAGGTCAGGAGTTTGAGACCAGCCTGGCCAATATGGTGAAACCCTGTCTTTACTAAAATACAAAAATTAGCTGGGTATGGTGGCACGTGCCTGTTAACCCAGCTACTTGGGAAGCTGAGGCAGGAGAATTGCTTGAACCTGGGAAGCAGAGGTTGCAGTGAGCCAAGATTGTACCTTTGCGCTCCAGCCTGGGCATTGTGGCGAGACTCCACCTCAAAAAGAAAAAAAAAGAAGAAGAAGAAGAATTCTTAGTTCAAGTCTGTATCTCATGATACATTTATTGACCATGAATAGAAGCAGTCGCCCCCTCTTTTGTCCTTTCCCCATTTTCCCCTCTGTCCTTGACTTAGGAAATAAGAATATAGGTGATTATCGTTGTTGAATTTAGTCATTTAAAAATCAAGTTTTCACAGTCTCTTTCAGTTTGAACGTATAACTGACTTGCCTGGGCTCGTCCACCAGCCTGTCTGTGGAAATCTCCTCATTTGCAGGTGGGTCCTGCCAGGATTCAGAGAAGCAGTTGAGACACTCTGAATATTTAGCTGTGGTGTCAGCAGCCTTATAAGAAAAGCAGTTGAAAAAACTCTATAAGAAAACTCTCCTGTGTCTTACCAGCACAACTGGGACATTAGAAGAGCATTTCTCAAAGACAAATGGAGCCATCCGTCTTTGAGAGGTCCAGCTTTGGATTTGGGAGTAACTACATACTAGATCCTTCTCTTAAGCTTCATGATACACATTAGTATAGCACAGGCTCTGAGGAGGTCTAGAGTATGAGCCTATGAGAGTAGGGAAGTAGCTGTCTCCAACCCTTCCGACTTCATAAACTCTTCCCTTCAAGCTCATTTGAAGTACTTAGTTCCTGAACACACTCAGCTCTTCTCCCACATGAGCTATTTGCGTGTAAGATTTCTTTTGCCTGGAATACCCTACTCGTGTCTCTGCATGGGTAATTTCTTCTCTTTTAGGCATCAGCCAAAGTCTCACTTTCTTACAGAGGACCGTCTTAGCCAATGTAGGTCTTTTCTGGTGTAGCTCTATCTTAGGACTCTGTTTCCTTCAAACTCCTATCACAATTTAAAATCAGTCAATTAAGTCAACTGTTGAAATGTTTA